GAGTGAATACTGTCTCAAAGTGGCCTATCATTTATGGAAGCTTCAAGAGTGCTTTGGGATTAAGGGAATATTTGCTGCAACATATATCATGTAAACCTGACAATGGACTCTACTGAATGCAATAGAAAGTGGCATGATTGAATGGGTCTGGGATTGGAGCACAGCAGGCACTCTGTTTTGATATAACGGGTTGGCCATTTTGCAGTTGGCCATTTCAGTAAGTTGGTATCAGCTCTGCTAGCTCTATGCCATGCACAGTGTGGTTTTGCGGCTGCTGTGCATTACGTTGCCAGTGAGGGCCAATGCCAGACTGCCAACCCTAGTCCAGATGCATTGTGGCCTTGGAAGATGGCACAGAAGCAAAGGATGCCAGTCTTTCGGCAGATAGCCAGTAAGCGGTGAGTTGTTCTATGTGACGTGGGGTAAGGTGCAATTGAACATGAGAGACCACCACTAAGGTGGGTAGGTAATTACCAAAGGGGGAGTTTGGGAAAGTGCAGAGAGATCTCACTGGATCTCATACTGAGAATCCCTCCAAATTTATCAATGCAACATGCCAAAAGAAAATAAGCTTTAGCCCCATTGTTTCCAAAGGCCAATCACTGCTCTCAAAAGTAACACCTTTGAGATCATTATATGATTTCTATTGACCAGTGAGCTTGTACGAAATAACATATATATTTCAAATTCACTTAAATACCATTGACAAATAAACAGACTCACAATATCCTTATTAATTTTTTAAGTAAAGATATAATGAGTGTATTATTAACTGAAAATCATCTCATTGCTTGCAGCAGTCTCACGTTGTCATGCGAATTCTAGAAGCACAAGTGTCTCAGCTGAATTGGAACACCACTGCGTGCAATTTCCCCTGCAAGCAACACAGCATCCGGATGAGGAGCTATATCACCGGCCCTTCACTGTACCTGGGTCAAAACCCTACAAATCCAGTCCTTGCAGCATTCCAAAGCATCCTGCATCTCAAAGATTTTGTTGGTTCAAGGAGGCAGTTCGTCACCACATTCTTCAGGGACAGGCAGTAAATGTTGGCGCATTGAGCAATGCCCAAATCCTATGAATGAATTAAAAGTTGTGCATCAAGAACAAAATAGCTGGATTTATATTCATGGATGTGGTGTTTTGAGTATTATGTTTGACAATTGCAATAGATACTAGTAAATATGAGAAACTGGGTTTTTGTAATGGCTTCAAGGTAAATGTTTGTGGTTTCCAATCTACAACTTCAGGCTCCGCTCTCCACCTATTAAACTGACCCCAATAGTATTAGTTCCTGGATAGTGACTGGTATGAGTTCTTCACCCCTGTGGTATGTATTAGCAGCAACTTGAATAAAGACAGTCAATGAATTATGTCGGGGATCATCTTTCTTTGATGAAGAGTGTGGTTTCTTCTCTTAGGAAAACTATTACTGTTATTTGTACTTTAGTCAAGGAACTGGGAGGCACAGTAACGCTGAGGGTCATTGCACCAGACCCTCTACTGTCCTCACTATGAAAGGGATACTTTTCATTGTCAATGTCTAAGATGTTGCTTGCATCTATTTATTCTGCAAATTTATTGTTTACAGGAAGAGAAGGTTCAGTCATCTAAATTGGGAGCTTTACACAATGTTGTCCCACATCTGCACGCCCTACTGCTAACCTCCAACTGTATTCTGCTTTGTTTATCCTTTGTGTCAAGAAAAACTGCATAAAATTCCAATGGTATTGGTCAGAAATCTTCAGGGGTCCCAGAGGCAGCTGGCCTGGAGGTAGGCAAGCAACCTGATTGGATGGTATGGCAGCACCCCAAAACCTTCCTGCTTCCACCCGAATTAAATGTCGGACAGGATAACGCAAGCTTGATAAGACCATACCACTGATAATTGAGGTCCTTTAAGTGGTCAGTTAATGGCACACTTGAGGCTAGTCCTCACATATTGAAGGGCAATCAAGGGACAGGATTGGGAAAGTGGAGTTGAAACTGGAGATCAGCCAATGGAGCGACGATGATGGGTAGTCTGCCTTTCTCCTGCTCCTAGCTTTATATTCTTATGTAACTGGCTCTGCAGCGGGCTGCCAGTTGCTTCTTTTGTCCTGGCTCTGTGTCGGTTCTCTCCTGTGATTTTCCATTTATTCCTAACGAGGTGTTCTTGTCGTGCTGTGAAAACGATGCATCTTTCAGCAGGAACTTCGAAACCCTTTGGTTTTGACAAGGGGTGACAACAGACTGTTTTTGTCTGGCTCACCAATGAGAAGTTGTGGTCATTTTTAGAATATCTGTAACCTTTATAATTTGTTGCTTCCATAATGAATTTCATTAAACAACACTCTCTGATATTCAGCAGGCATGCTGTGTTTGACAGGCCATTCATGACAAAGACTGTTGAAATACCAGTGAGTTAGCTGGAACAGCAGCTGAATGCTAATTTATGTTGTTTTTGTCTAGGTCTAGCTTCAACACAACTGGAGAGAGCGAGAGACAGTGAGAGAGAGAGAGAGAGAGATGTGTCTGATTTGTTTTTGATTATGTTTGAACCAAGCGTTTGCTGAGTTTAGTTTTTAATCTACGGAAATGTTTGTTTTTCTGGCTTTTATCTTTGGTAGTTACTCCCAGGATTCATCTTCACTTATTGATACAAGGTCAGAAATCACACGACACCAGGTTATAGTCCAACAGGTTTATTTGAAAACACAAGCTTTTGGAGCCTCATTCCTTCAGGTGTTAGTGAGAGAGGTAGTATCAGGCACAGAATTTATAAGTAAAAGATCAAAGGGTCACACCACTGATGAGGATGTACTAAACAAACCTAAGATAGAAGGTTTTAATTGACTAATATGTATATGTAAATCCCCAAATTCCTTTGAAGTCACTGTCCTGAGAGAACTAAAGGTTTTATCAGTGTAAAGAAGAGGTGACATTTTAGGTCAGACAATGCATGTGAGGTGTGAGCCCTTGTTTAGTACATGTTTGTGTTTTGGTTTGGAGTCAGAATGGTTTTAGACGGGGTTTACATGTACATATTAATCAATTAAAACCTTCTATCTTAGGTTTGTTTAGCATATCCTCATCAGTGATGTGACCCTTTGATCTTTTACTTATGAATTCTGTGTCTGATACGTCCTCTCTCACTAACACCTGAAGAAGGAGTGAGGGTCCGAAAGCTGGTGCTTTCAAATAAATCTGTCGGACCATAACCTGGTGGCATGTGATTTCTGACCTTGTCCACTCCAGTCCAACACCGGCACCTCCACATCATGGCTAAATGATACAGCCGGGAGTCTGTGTGGAGTTTGCACATTCTCCCCATGTCTGTGTGGGTTTCCTCCGGGTACCGCGGTTTCCTCCCACAGTCCAAAGATGTGCGGGTTAGGTGGATCGGCCTTGCTAAACTGCCCGTGATGTCCAGGGATTTGCAGACTGGGTGGATTAGCCTTGGGAAATGCAGGGTTACAGGAACAGGGTAAATCTGAGTGGGATGCTCTTCGGAAGGTTAGTGTGGGCTTGATGGGTCGAATGGCACGCTCCCACAGTGCAGGGATTCTATGATATTATGCACCTCCAACCTGATTATTGCCACCATCCATGCAGGCTGGAAAATGGTTTGGTGACCAACCCCCAATCAGGGAGGCGGGTTTAAACTGAAATAACGCAAGTCATGTGACCATTCCGCTTTGAAACTTAAACAGTTGTTGGCTCGGTTTCTTAAGCTTTGTGAAGATGAGGAGTTGGTGGATTTAGGAGGTAAGTGCCTCTACACTGAACTCTGGGTGCCTGACCGAGCAAACTCTGTGATTGCCTGCCACCACTCTCACAGTGACATTCCCCACCAGCATGGGGCCCTCCGGCCTGATAGGAGGTCCCAGTCTCTCCCAGAGCAATCAGACGCTGGCTTTTTCACTGTGTTCAATGGCTGTGCCCAGCTGCTCCTCACCCTGTCACTGATACCTCCAACCAGTCTCTCACTGTGGCTATACCAGCTGTCACAGGCAACGACGAACAGCTCCTAGCCCCTGCGGGAGACCCAGCTGTGAGAGAGTTGACTGAGGGCATGTGTGAGGGAGGGAATGTGTGCGTACCTGAGAGTGAGTGTGTACATATGTGAGCAGGAATATGTGGTAAATGGCAGAGTTAACTTTGGTTTTGCATTTTCACCCAGGAAGCAGAGCGAGATAGAAACAGCTAAGCCCCAAATCATCAGGGGTATGAAAAGGCACAGACTCAGAATGAGTAAAGGAGTTGGTTTTAATTAACTCCAACTTTGTGTTCACCACTGGTCACATATATTCTGAGCTGGCCTTGGTGTAATTTATATAAATGCTTAGAAGTGTGTGTGTGTTTGTGTGTGTGTGTGTGTGTGTGTGTGAGTGTGTGTGTGTGTGAGAGTGTGTGTGTATGTGAGTGTGTGTGTGTGTGTGTGTGTGAGAGAGTGTGTGTGAGTGTGTGTCCATGTGTCTGTGTGTGTGTGTGCACGTGTGTGTGTGTGTGTGTGTGTGTGTGTGAGTGTGTGTGTGTGTGTCCACCTCATCCCCCCGCCCCTGTCTCAGGGTACATGCACTATACACACATGTACTCTTTCAGAACCTTTCTCTCACTGACACACACACACGCACACGCACACAAACACACACACACACACAAACACACACACACACACACACAAACACGCACACATTCGCACACACACAAACACACACACACACACACACACACAAACACACTCACTCACACACACACAAACACACGCACGCCCACACACACACAAACACACACATAACCACCAGAAGCAGTTCTCCCAAAAGTCTGTAGTGCCCATTGTTCTCAGCTGAGGTAAGAGATGTTTTATTATGTTCATGGGAATATATAAATATCATGTGCTTGTTATTGATAGAAACAGCACAAGTAGCCTAAACATCATTGATTTGATTTGATTTATTATTGTTGCATACCTAAGTGTGGTGAAAAGTCTTGTTTTGCATGCAGTACAGCAGATCATAACATACAAAGACACAAAGGTCACAGGGTGATTGAACATCTGCTGTAGAGAGCTCACAAAGAGTCACCCTACGTCAGCGCCATCTTGTCTAGGCTTTGGGAAATGGGCAGGGCAACATGTTCGGTGCCCATGGGTAATCATTATTAGGCTGAGCACTGAGAAATGGCCTTCGGGACTCAGCACTGAAGCTCACACAAGAACTGGAGATCAGCCAGTACCCATGGAACCAATGCTCAGCAGGTTCAGCATTTTGGGAGAGTGCTGGAATTAAAACAGCCAGACAAAATTGTGCCATTGTGCAAAGTGACTCATTTTATTTATAGATCCATTACAAGCATGTTTAACTGTTCACTGATCCAGTCTTTCACCTACACTAAGAGGTATTGTTAATTCTTTATTTGATTAAACGTATTTTGGCATTACACAATCTTCGTCAGCCTCGCTTGTGTTACATTGCTTTCAAATTAGTGCTGTTCATCAGTAGCTGTCGCTGAAACCCTGTGCTTTATGCAGCATAATGGGCTTCTTCGCAACTACACAGAGGCGAAGGTTAGTTTGCAAGAGGGTGCGCTTGCCTGGAATTGCTTATTATTTCTGCAGTGTCTGCATAGGCAGAACCCTGCTCTGAATTTTGCTTCCAGTGCCCTGTGAAGGAAAAGAAGGTGAATGAATTTAAATAACGTTAAGTGCATTTTAAACAAAAAGAAGAACTCTGCTAATATGCCTTTTGAAGGACCTTTCCCTGGGAACCTAAGGATTCACTGCGCCCGCTGTTGAAACTGATGCATTTCCTGACATATACAGGTAATCACCTAAATGACAGAAGGCCTAAAGGAGGTCATTCTTTATTTACAAATATGGAGTCCAAGACAAGGATGGTGGCTCAGTGGTTAGCAATGCTGCCTCACAGCGCCAGGGACCTGGGTTCAATCCCACCCTTGGGTGACTGCCTATGTGGAGTTTGCACATTCTCCTGGTGTCTGCGTGGGTTTCCTCTGGGTGCTCCAGTTTCCCCCCACAGTCCAAAGATGTGCAGGTTGGGTGGATTGCCCATAGTTTTCAAGGATGTGTGGGTTATTGGTGGATGGGTCTGGCTGGGATGCTCTGAGGGTCAGTGTGGACTGGTTGTGCCAAAGGGCCTGTTCCCACACTGTAGGGATTCTATGAAGGATGACCATCCGCTTCCATAGTTGCAGGATTTTGTAGAAACACCACATTCGATGGCTATTAACGGGTACTGTGGTTTTGGCCAATGTGAACTGCGCAGGCTATTAAGGGAGGTTTCAATCTAGTGCCTTTTCACTCAGAGACAAGGATACTATAAACTGTGACAAGCTCAAAATCTGAAGCCTTTCATCAGCATTTCTACACTTTGTAAGATATCCCTGATCCTTGCCCTCCAAAGTACATAGAGTAAAATTATTTTTCTTTCAGATCTTCACTCATACATTATACATCTTTGTCTTGGTTCTTTTCTGAGCATGACTTTTGCCTAACCTTAACATTCAATAATTATATTCCCCCACCTTTATCCTCCTAACTCCCATTCCAGCTATTCACAGTTCTTTACCAAAGGGTTGTAGTTGATTTAGTGTTAATTGATTTACCTGGATCTTCATTTCTCATGGGCACAGTTTTGTTGTGCAGAAGCATCTTTTCTAAATCTTGCAAGAATCTTGTCTACTTTATGTTCAAGTCTTGTAGCTTGTTCTTCTCAGTCCTACTCAACAAACTGCTTATTGATGTGGCTTGGGCTTTTAAAAACAAAGTTTTGTGTCTCCCCTTTATCTCACACCCCCATCATCCCCTGACCCCCCTCAATGCTATCATTTTGAGGAGAAACTCCAAAGATCCATTCCAATTTCAAATAGCTGTTAGCAATTATCGTTGGGACGCACTTTATTGCTGCCCTTATCTCCTCGACTTTGTTCCTATTGCTATCTTTCTCTTGGTTGATTTTTATTGTTCCAAGTTAGTCCATTTTTTATGTTACTCCTGTGTTTTGTTTGTTAGTTATTAATTCCCCAGATAGTTATCTGTCCTCACAGAAACACAGAAATGTTACAGTGAAGAAGCAGGCCATTCAGCCCGTTGTGTCTGCACCTGCTCACTGGTACCAAATTCGTGCCAAACTCCTTCCTGCCTTTTGGCCCACAACCCTGATTATTGTTTCTGTTTAAACAGTCATGAAATGCGCTCTTAAATACTTCAACTGAACCTGCCGTCACCACTCTTTCACACAATGTACTCCAAGCCCAGACCACTCACTCTGTAAAAAGTTATTTTTTTTTCTCACTCTGCATTTGCTTCATTTGCAAAACACTTTTAACACTGTACCGAGATAGTAGGAACTGCCGATGCTGGAGAATCTAAGATAACAAGGTATAGAGCTGGATGAACACAGCAGGCCAAGCAGCATCAGAGGAGCAGGAAAGCTGACGTTTCGGGCCTAGACCCTTCTTCAGAAATGGGGGAGGGGAAGGGGATTCTGAAATAAATAGAGAGAAAGGGGGAGGCGGATAGAAGATGGATAAAGGAGAAGATAGGTGAAGAGGAGACAGGTCAAGGAGGCGGGGTTGGAGCCAGTAAAGGTGAGTGTACGTGGGGAGTTAGGGAGGGGATAGGTCAGTCCAGGGAGGACGGACAGGTCAAGGAGGCGGGATGAGGCTAGTAGGTAGGAGATGGGGGTGATGTTTGAGGTGGGAGGAGTGGATAGATGGGAGGACAGGTTAGGGAGGTGGGTACGAGCTGGGCTGGTTTTGGTATGCAGTCGGGGGAGGGAAGATTTTGAAGCTTGTGAAGTCCACATTGATACCATTGGGTTGCAGGGTTCCCAAGCGAAATACGAGATGCTGTTCCTGCAACGTTCGGGTGGCATCGTTGTGGCACTGCAGGAGGCCCAGGATGGACATGTCGTCCAAGGAGTGGGAGGGGGAGTTGACATAGTTCGCGACTGGGAGGTGCAGTTGTTTGTTGAGAACCGAGTGTAGGTGTTCCACAAAGCGGTCCCAAAGCCTCCGCTTGGTTTCCCCGATGTAGAGGAGGCCACAATGGGAACAGTGGATACAGTATACCACATTAGCAGATGTGCAGGTGAACAACTGCTTGATGTGGAAAGTCTTCTTGGGGCCTGGGATGGGGGTGAGGGGGGAGGTGTAGGGGCAGGTGTAGCACTTCCTGCGGTTGCAGGGAAAAGTGCCAGGGGTGGTGGGGCTGGTGGGGAGTGTGGAGCGGACAAGGGAGTCACGGAGAGAATGATCCCTCCGGAAAGGAGATAAGGGTGGGGAGGGAAAAATGTCTTTGGTGGTGGGGTCGGATTACAGATGGCGGAAGTGTCGGAGGATGATGCGTTGGATCCGGAGGTTAGTGGGGTGGTACGTGAGGACAAGGGGGATTCTGGTTTGGTTGTTATTGCGGGGAGGAGGCGTGAGGGATGAGTTGCGGGAAATGCGAGAGACACAGTTGAGGGTGTTTTCGACCACTGTGGAGGGGAAGTTGCGGTCCTTGAGAAACGAGGGCAACTGTGATGCCCGGGAGTGGAATGCCTCATCCTGGGAGCAGATGCAGCGGATGCAAAGGAATTGGGAATAGGGGATGGCCTTTTTGCAGGAAGGTAGGTGAGAGGAGGTGTACTCTAGGTAGCTGTCGGAGTCGATGTGCTCTCTGGTCTGCAATCTTTTTTTATGAGCAGAAATAATTTTCCCCTAAGCACAACATTCAGACCGCTCTTGATTTTGAAACCTTCCATCAAATATCCCCTCAGCCTTCCCTTCTCCAAGGAAAACAATTCCAACTTTTTCAGTCTATTCTCATAACTGAAATTTCTCATTGCTGGAATCAGTCTTGTAAATCTCTTCTGCATTCTGTCCCGAAGTATGGTCCCCAGAACTGTAATGCAATACTTCAGCTGATATCTAACCAGTGTCTTATACAACTTCAGTATAACGTCCCTGTTCTTGTACTCCACTATTAATGAAGCCTAGAATACTGTATACATTTTTAACAGCTCTCCCTACCTGTTCCGCTTCCTTTGTGATTTGTGAGAATATACACCCAGGTCTATCTGCTTCTGCGTACCCTTTGGAATTGTACCCTTTATTTTGTGTTGTCTTTCAAGTTCTTTATACCAAAATGTATAACCTCACACTTCTCCGCATTGAACTTTATCTACCGCCTCATCTCCCACTCCACCAACTTGTCAATATCGTTTTGACACTGTCCTCCTCACAGTTTACAATTCTTTCAGGGTTTTGTATTATCTGCACACTTTGAAATTGTTCCCTGCACACCAAGATCCAGATCACTTAGACATATATCAGGAAAAGCAAGGGTCTCCATATTGACCCGTGAGGAATTCCACCACTTCAACCTCGGAAAAAGCCTCCAGCCTGAAAGATATCCCTAACACATTATCGTGTCTTCATCCTCAAGGCTGATCCTCTTTGGGTTCTCCTTCTAGTCCTGTCAAGCACTTGATTGCTCCTCTAATCAGGACTTCGATTCCTGAGATGGACAGCTATTAGTCCCCCCCTTTTACAATATACCCCATCACAACACCACCTTTAACTGGCCAGTCATTCCATCCTCTCCATTCAAGGCTGTTACCGTCTCATTAATTCCAGTCAAAGCCATGTAAAATCAAACCTGAGGAATTTACATCAAAATCCAATGAGAAATACAGTCTGGAACATGACTGTAAAGGAGTGAAGTTACTAATTTTGGATGCATTATTGTGCCATTGTGCAAAGGCCATCTTCCTTTGCCCATAGAGCACTGTAGCTCTGCTGAATAAAGATCCAAGTAAAATATTTTAACACACCAGTTTAGTTCAGTGTTGTAGTTATCATGCCCAATAAATAAGCATTGAATGCCCTGTTGCACAATGAACAGCAAAGAAAATTGAACTTGCTATAACAACAACTCCGTTTATCCATACTTGCTCTCAAGGGACTTATTCTTACTGCAGATATTTCTTATTCACTGAAACCCAGACTTGAAATGCACCAGGCCTCAGAACCAGGGAACTTCATGAACATAGCTGTATGGCATAGTCAGCATGTGTTTCTCTGTACTGCATCAGTCTAGCCGAGTATCAGTAGAAATAGTGAAATAGATGTCAGTAGAAACATCTTGATATGTGTACAGACTGTGACTTCACCACAAGTCAACATCAAAATCCCATGTAGTGAACAATAGAAGTGATCTGATGTGATACTCAGGACTTGGAAGGGAGTTTGTATTGATTCAGTTGGTTTTGCTTTGTCAGTTATGGTCAGGCATTTTGAATTGGGGAGTTTGATCAAACAAATTACCAGAAAATTGACAGAAGTTACTATGGATTGCTCAATAGACAATCCCAATTCCTCTGCTGGTTGTCTGTCTCATTTGGTTAATGAATAAATTGTTTGTAGTATAGAGAAGCACATGCAGGCTACACCATGCGCTAATGCTAATGGACTTCCCTGCCTTGTGAGGCCTGATTCATTTCAAGCCTGGATTACAATGATTAAGAAATATGTGACACAGGTACAAGTCCTTTGACAGAAAGTATGAATAAGGAGAGTTGGTGCTAAAGCATGTTAATTTTGTGCAGTTGGTTGTTACTCTAAGCTTTCAGCTCTGCGTTCCAATAATGAATCGAATGCAGAATGATAGGATTAAATTGTCTCCTGTCTCTGCTAGTTGTGAGAAACTACATTTTATCTAGCTATAGATGCAGACCCACAGAACCAATAGTGCCCACAACCAAGCTTAAATTGGCACCAACTTGGCAATGCAACTCAGGCTTCAATCTGGCTTGCTCAGCGATGTAGAAGAGAGTTGACAGAATGATCTCGTACCAAGCTTAGTCCCTTTGTCTACCATTTCAAATCATTCCTCAATTCTTTCCAAATCCCTCAGCCGTAGCAAATAAAAATGCATTAGAGGTGTTGACTGGCAAACATTAAAGACTGAATCTGAACAATGGGATCTGAGAGTCGCTGTGGAAGCAGAAGGCTATGTACTTGATATCATAAATTCCAGGCAGCTCACAACCATTCAGTGGGTGTTTCAAGTACTAAGTAATTGCTGATTTTCACAAAAATGTATCTTAGCAAGCAAGTAGAGGCACTAATCAGACTGACGGTTGCATTGATATTATCATTTGGGTAATGTTATGAAAAAGGATGAAGGATACTAATGTTGGGAATTTAAAACTTTGTAAAGCATTCTAAGATGTTGGCTTGAGTCACTGGTAGCACTCTCACTCAGTATTCAAATTCCTATCAAAGACTTCAGAGTCTAATCTAATCTGTGTAGTGCCAAAGGACTGTTTCAATGCTGAATACATCACACTTCAAGTGGGATGCTCAGGTGAACATTGATAATCTCTGACACTATTAAAAGAAAAGTTAGCTTGGCCAAAATTTTACCTCCTATCCATGCTAACAGGAGCAGATTGATTAGTTCTTCAGTCTATCACTGTTTACATGTGACAAGATAAGTGATGCATTTACACACATTAATAATTCAAAAGTCATGAAACATTTTAAGGTGGCTTTGCAAAATTATAAGTCAAAGTTCTTTCTCTTCACCCAATGACATGAACTCACAGATTTCGTACAAATAAAGGTATGGTCACCATACCACTAGGCACCTCTCTCATTAGAGAGGAAGAGAGCTGACTGGTGGTGGTTTAACCTGAGAGTAGCTATGCCTCAGATGAAAGGCTGAGAAAGTGAATTCTTCATAGCAGCCTTAGGTGATATAGGGAATTGAACCCATAGTGCAGTAGTAGTCTGTATCATAAACCACTTGTCCAGCCAACTGAGCTAACTGACACCCAAATGCTTATACTTGGTATGGCACAAAGTTAAACACTCAATCAAGATCAAAAACTGCTCATCGAACAGCTGGACCTCACTTATAGCAGACAGGTGGTGCAGAATTAACTTTTCTTTGCATTATATGTCAATTTCTTACAGGTAGAATGTAGGGATAAATGGGGCATTGTCAAGCTCTCAGATTGTGACTGGTGGAGTGCTGTAATAATCAGTGTTGCATTCTCAACTTTTACAAGGCATTTTTATGACTTAGACAAAGAAATGAGACTAATGTATCTCAGCCTGGTGATGATGCAAAGCCAGGTGGAAAGTTAAGCTGTTTCAGAGGATATGAAGAGGCTTCAAAGAACAAATAAACACATGAAATAGGAACAGAAGTTGGCATTCCGCCCCTTGATCAAGCTCCACTGTTTGGTAAGATCATGACGAATATGGACAGATTAAGTGAGAGGGCAACATGGTGGCAGATGGGGTACATAACATGAAAAAGTGTAAGGTTTTCCATTTGGTGTTAAGAATAGAGGAGCAGAATATTTTTAAAATAGGAGGAAATCTTGTAAATCTTGATGTTCAAAGAAATGCATGTGCACAAGGATCAAAAAGTTTGGTACAGCAAGCAATCAGGACAACAATGGCATGTTGGCCTATATTGCAAAGGTATTGGAGTACAAGGATAAAGAAGTCATGCTATACACGTCTGTGATTTTGGTGAGATCACAACAAGATTCTGATTTGCAGTTTTGATCCCCATATTTAAGGAAGAATAAACTCTATTGAAGACAGCACAGTGAAGGTTCACTAACTTGTCCCTAGCTAGGGAAAGTCATCCTGTGATGAAAATCTGAGTAAATTGGGTTTATGTTGTGTGGCATTTAGAAGAATAAGAAGTGATCTCATTGAAACATTGAAGATTATGAAGGGACTTGACTAAGGTAGAAATGGAGATTCTGTTTCTTCTTGTTTGGGAATCTACAATAAAGAGCACTGAGATTAGGGTTCCTTAACTCAAAGATCTGAGTCTTTGGAATTCTCAACAGCAGATGGCTGCGGATGCATCATCATTGAATATATTTTAGGCTGAAACAGACAGATTTTGGTCTGTCAGGGAATTGACGGAGGTAGGTAATAGGCAGGAAAGTGAAGTTGAAGACCAGCATTAGCCACAATCATGTTCTTAGGTAGAGCAGTCTTGATGGGATATATGTTCTACTCCAGCTCTTTTTTTCATGTTCTTAACTCATACTTACCAGCTTGTAGAAGCAAAAGGAAGATTCCTCAATATTGCTCCATTACATTTTATCCCACATCTATCTTTGAAAAACTATCTCTAACTACTGCAATGCAAACTTTAATAAATGGAATACTGCTTTTCAGTCTGACCTCAAACATGGCTCAGCCATGGATACCTGGATTCCTGTGGATCAGACTGAGCATTAATAATTTTGGCAGAATATGTTTATTAATGACTCATATTTGCAATTTTACAAATTAACTTCAGAGCGCATCATAACACTGGCTTCTCACAAGCCATTACAAATGGAAAAGATTAATTTAGCAATATCTTACATTGTGCTGTCATATAGCCCATTTACTCATCCTCCTGGACGAAAAACTCATGACAAGCCGCAGTTGTCATAGCAACAAAAGCAACAAACTCCTGAAAATCACACTCTGCATCACCGTCACTATCCAGGCTTTCCATCAACTTGTCCAAAGTCTCTTGGTCTTTAATGTCCTATAGGGCATTTAAAAAAAAATTCAAACTTCAAAAAGCAAAACATATAATAAAGAATGTCCTGTGCATGTTTACCTTAAACTAACTTTTGCTTTTAAAAAGTACATGCAAGTTCATTTAAAATCAAGTGTTCCAACACCTAAGTATCCTAAAATGTAACATTTGATTCCTTTACACAGTTTATTCCAACATGGCATTCACTTCTCCAACTGTTTTCATGATACATAAACTGGTAAATGACCGGAACAATAACAGAAGTTGCTGGAAAAGCTCAGCAGGTCTGGCAGCA